GGTGGTTCTCTGGCTGCGCCTTCTGAACGCTACATGATATACTGCATTCGAAATCCAACATTCGACATTCGACATTCTACATTCAAAAAAAAAAGAAACCAAACCTTAGTTCTGAACTTTGCCAGAAAAAAACCTCCTGTGCTGGTCACAGGGTGGGTTTGCTGGCTGGTTTGCTGGCTGGATGACTGCGCCGTCTGAACGATACTTGATATAATATAATGCATTCGACATACGACATTCGAAAAGAAAGAAAACCAAACAAAACCTCTTGTGCTGGTCACAATCTACGTCTGCGTCTGTGTCTGCCTCTCTCAACGGGCATCTGTCCATCTTTTGCGGAATTTCTTCAGTACATACAATCGTTAAATTGAAGGAATCGGAGGAAGCCGAGGAAGCGGAAGAAGCGTAGGAAGCGAGGGAAGCAGCTTCATTCATTTACGACAAAGCCTTCCTGCCCAACAAGAGATATATATCCAGATCGATTGATTGATCGAGAGCAGCCTGGCTAGCCCATCGGTGGACTCAGTTGACTTTTCGACTGCTCGTCGTCTTCATCTTTCTTTCCAACACATATGGAATAGAAAAGACAAGAAAAAAAATACAATACTGTCAATTCTGCAAAAAAAAACAAAGACGAACAAACATGAATCACTTGACAGCGGAATGGAGGGTTGTTTTCATTCGCTTCATGAAGTTATTCAGAACTGCGTCTGTCCGCATGTCTGTCAGACTTCCTCGAACTCTATAGATAACTCGAGCCCGGAAGCACAATTCGAGGCTCTGAACCTAATCGATTGTGTGGGATATGTATATATATAGATAGTCTGTCTATCTTAGTAAAAAGGTAATACCCATTTACTCTCTCCCTCCCAAAACGAACGAAAAAAAAAGAGATATGCACGTTCTTCTTCTCTATATCATCATGTAGAACAAACAACATCTACCGATTTACAGCCTCATTCCGCTCGACCAGATCCCCAACCCCCAAGCCCCTCCCGACCTTGACGCGGATCATCTTCTCTACTTCGCCGTCCTTCTCCTTCTTGCCCAACTCGCCAACCTCGTCGCCTTCGTCGGGGTGTTCCCCGTCGTCGTCTTTATCCTCCTTCTCCTTTTCTTTCTCCTTTTCTTTCTCCTGCTGCTGCTGTTGCTGCCGATCCTTGGCATCCTCCTCGCTCCAGTCCAGCCACATGCTCTTCAGATCCCGGCGCATAGCATACGCGTCCTCGCCGTCGGCGTAGTACTTGCTCTCGACCTTCTCGACCTCGAAGCCCAGCGTGTCGCGGTAGAGGCGCAGGGCGGCCGTGTTGGAAACGCGCACGTGCAGCGAGACGTAGTTTGCGCGGTGGGATTCGGCCATGGCGCGTTCTGTAGAAAAGAGTCAGTTTGTTAGGTCTTTAGCAGGGTTTGTTTTATATATAAAAAAAGACAGGGGCAGAGAACATACGACTCATCCGCATCAACCGCTCCGCAATCCCCAACCGTCGATGCGTGCGCATGACACTCAGACTGGTGATATGCCCATGCGCGATCCCGTCCGCTGGCTCCTCCTCCATCTTGGCCAGCACGTACCCGACCACCTTGGGGTATTCCTCTCCGGGGCCGTAGCCATATGCGCCCGCGCCCGCACCCGGTCGCCCCCCGAGTTTCTTCTTGTTCTGGGCATACCCGTTCTTGGGCCGCACGACGGCCACGAAGCTGAGTTGCGGCCACGTCAGGGCGTGGTAGAGGTAGTACTTCAGAAAGTAGTTTTCGGGCAGGTTGGTGATGTTGCACGTCTGGATGGACGGGAGGAGGTTGATGTATGACGGGAAGGACGAGAGGGGGAGGATGTCGACCATTTTGAAGGTATGTTTCTGGCTTTCTTTTTCTTCCTGGATTTTTTTTCAAGTATTCGTTCCTGTCTTGTCGACCGTGTGATTATTATGTCCAGTCGGTGTGACTCCGTGTGAGCTCCGTCGAGTTTGGTTGTCAGGATTGTCAACGGTCGAGTACGTCAGCCTTGGTGCGGACTCCGGTCAATTCGAAACAGATAAAGGTAAGAAAATGTCTTGGCTGCCCTGTCTCTGCAGGGCAATTGACTGATCGAGGCAATGACTCTTGCCTGGTGAGGGGTCGCGCGATGTGTTCTGCGATGCGGAAATCGGGCGGAGAGCCAGCACAGCACTTGGCCCAAACGGGACTACGGTTAGGGCTTAGGGTGGACTAGCAGTATACAGACAACAGCCATTCCACTCTCCACCAGCGAGCTTCCGACAACACGAAATCTACAACTGCGTATTGATATTGGCATTGCATGCTCATGTACTGTATGTACAGCTCTATGAATAACACTGTTCTAACCCAATAGCCACCCTGAATGCAAAACGAGTCGTGACCAACAGTCATCGGCTGGTATAAAGAAAAACACAGTCGCTCAGCAACAGTGTCGTATATAACCAAACACCCAATTTACCCACTACGCCCCTAGCAGAAACCAAACAAAGCTGATCAAAGTCGCCGCCCACACGGCGTTCATAAGCCCCAACGGGGGTGTCACCCCGGATGCCGTCGACGACTGAGTACCGCAGCAATGCCCGTTGTAGGTGACATTGTTCATCATGGCCGCCACTTCAAAGACGGACCCGTTCACGCTGCCGTCGTTGTAGTAATCGACCAGCAAGAAGTTGGGCGGTCGGTTCCACATCGCTAGATGGGGTCAGTTTCGTCGTCGACGAACGGAGGCAAAAAGAGGAACTTACTAGTACAGTTGTCCGCCATCCAGCCGAGACTGCCGTATCCCGACACGCCGTTCGTCACGTTCAGAAGGGCCGTGTTGGGGACCAGAATATTCAGTCCCGCGAACGACACCTCCAGGTTGAGGTTGTGGTTCGCCATGTACAGGCGGTTCTTCGCATCCTGCGGCGCCAGGTTTGGCGGGCGTTGCACGGTGCAAGGGAAGTTGCGGTCGGTCGGCGAGAAGGGCGTCTCCCACATCTGGCTGAACTCGTCCAATATGTAGGGGACCTCGGTCTGGTTGGCCTGATAGTCCATGAAGATGACGACCCTCTTGCCGGTGAGGATCATCTGGGACAGCGGCGGCCAATCGTCCAAGCCCATGGGGATCTTGGGCGGCGTGTAGGCGTAGTTGATCAGGCCCGAGTTGATGATGGGGGCCGTGAAATTGGTCGGGGCAACCAGGTCGTAGTTGCCCATCAGGATGGTGATCACATCGTACGGGTTCTTCTGCAGCCACTGCACGACCTCGACGAGATAGGCCTCGAGGGTGCCGGCATTCAAGAGGTCGCAGGAGGTATGGCAGAGGTACATGGTCTCATTGGCGTAGTGAGTCTGGAATTGCACTGGAACCGGCCGTCAGCACAGCACGCTTTGGATCGTAAAACCATCCACAGGCAACCTACGCATGCGAATCCCGTCATTCAGCTGGGTGGTGACGGGGTACTGCTGGTTGGCCGCGAAGCTGCCCGGGCGGACGAAGGGGCTGTTGTGAGCAGCGACGACGGTGATGTTGGAGTAATTGCGGGCGCAGAACTCGGGATAGCCGTTGCAGGGCTGGGTGTTGGTGGGCAGCGCGGTGGACGAGGTCGCGGACGTCGCAGCCATGGTACCGTTGGCGGTGGCATTGGGAGCATCGCCCTGGCCGCCGACGAGGAGGGTGATGGAGGCCGAAGTCGTGGTGCTGGCAGCGGCCGACCCGGTGGTGTCGGAGGCGTTGGCCGAGGCAGACGCGGTCGGGGTGGTCGTCAAGTCCAGGCTGCCGCTCGTCGACACGGTGATGGTGGTGGTGACGGACTCGTACGTGCCGGTCTTGGGGACCTCGATGCTGAGGGGATCCTTGGTTCCCTGGAGCGTCATCAACGAGGCTGCATCATCGCTGAGCGTGGTGGTGGCCGAGGCCAGCGCCAGCAGCACGGGCGCAATCCAGAGCAGCCGCATCTTCGCGACGCGGAGATGGATCAGAAAGCTCGACAGCAGACCGATGCAGACTCGCAGCAGATAAAGAGGGCTGCAAAGACTGCAGAGCGGCCGACGAGCCGGGGAAAGGGGCCTGATGGTTCTTGAGGCGAGTGGAGAGATGGACAGTGCTGAGACAGCGTCGAGCTCGTCCCGTGGAAACTCCAATAGCGCTGCCTGCATCGTCAGCGTCTCCACCGGTCTCGACCAGCTGTCAGTGCTGTGACGATGATGTGCGTTTCACCTGCCTGCGAATCATATTGATACGATACTCATACGATGTTTTATTCTATTAATATCGAGCGATGCTGACCAGGTCATCCGCTGCAGGTCCACGGCGTTGCGTGACTGCGAGGTGGTACAGGCCAGGCACGCAGGATGAGCAGCAGCACTGGCATTGCTCTTAGCGAACGGATTAGCAACGGATTAGCTGCTGATAAGCTCCGCAACGTCATCCGGATCGACATTTGCTCTTCTGGCTTCGCTGGGCTGTGCCGATCGCTGGCCCACCTGCAAGCCTCCCGCCGCCATCGCCCGTGGATGCTTCGCCATGCCCGCCGGCCTGTCTCGCCGCCCCAGCTGCTGTCGATCGCCGGCCGGTCTGCTGGCAGCACTGCCTGGTCCTCTTCCTCTTCCTGTTCCTCTTCCCCTGCTCGTGCCTAGGTCAGCCCCGGTGGAGGAAGGGGACGAGAAAACGGCCTGATACCTACCTCTGACCTGCTCCGCACCGGTATACCTGCGATGCTTCCTCCCGGACACCTCTTTATCGCTACGCCATCGCCAGCCCTCCTTTTCTCTCCTTTCCCTACCGTTTCCTATTCTCCGTATTTTTATCTTCCTGTCGCTCCCTCTTCTATTCTTTCCTCGAGAGACGGCCGCTGGGGGCGCTGACCCGGCATCCACCATGGCCGACGCCGACGCCGGCTCCCGCAAAGAGGCCCAGCCCTACGCCCTGAGACGACGCACCACCGTGGTCTGGCATCGTCTCTTCCGCTCCCTACTCTACCTGCTCGCCTGGATCTTCCTCGTCCTCGTCGAGATCGGCAATGTCGCCAACAAGCCCGTCCTCCGCGACACCTACTTCCTCAAACTCGACCTCTCCAACATCATCCCGCTGTCCGTGCCCAATGCCGTCTTTATCAACAGTATTGCCCGCAGTATCGGTCTGCACGACTTCTACCAGGTTGGCCTGTGGAACTTTTGCGAGGGCTACGACAACACCGGCATCACCAGTTGCTCCAAGCCCGAGACCTTGTACTGGTTCGATCCTGTCCGCATTCTGGTGAACGAGCTGCTCTCTGGCGCGACGAGTACGTAGACATAAAAAACTCAATCACTGTATTCCGGCTGACAACCCCGCAGTTGCTCTGCCCATGGAGATCACCAGGGCGCTTGCTATCGCCCGGATCGCCTCACACTGGATGTTCGGCCTGTTCCTCATCGGCGCCATCTTGTCCTTCCTGGCCATCTTCATCACCCCCCTGGCCGTGTCGTCCCGTCCTCCGCAGTCCATCTCGCCCGATCCGCATGTGAACGAGGCTGTTCGCCCGCACCATCGCGTGACCTTTGTCCTGTTCCGTTCCTTCCCTATGGTCATCTTCACCTTTCTCACCGCGCTGACCACCATCGTGGCCTCGGTCGTGGCGACGGTCATGTTCACCATCTTCCGTAACGTCTTCACGGGCAACCAGGTCAACCTGAACATCAAGGCCAACCTGGGCACCCGCATGCTGGCCTTCATGTGGATCGCCTCGGGCTTGACCTTCATCGGGTTCCTCGTGCAGGTGGCCTCGTGCTGCTGCGCCTGCTGCGGGGGTCGCAAGGCCCGGCGCGAGCTCCGGCACAAGACCAACCTGGACGAGAAGCACCACGGTCCCAACAGCGGCGACGGTTTGACCGTCAAGCGGCGGCGATTGGGCTGGCGGAGTAACCGGGTTGATGTGTAGGTTGTGGCTTGTCTTATTGTTACTTCATCCTTACCCTCGTACCTTCACACCCTCATACACTCATACACTCATACCCTCATACCCTTGTGCAAGAAGCAGGATAGACCGTTTGTTATTCTTTTTTTTTCGTTGGATAAACCTGGTATATATAGAAGGAGAGGCTTTTTTTTGGTCTTCTGGTTAAACAAGGAGGGATAAATATATATATGAGGAACCAACCAACAGCCTGGAAAGGGCATTCATTGCATTAGCATTAGATTAGATTAGACCGTGGAGTCGAGTCAAGAACCGACGGGACTACCGGGCGACGGAGCAGGACTCTTTCTTATTATTCTTTTTATTATTACTTGGCTTGACGATCGTTATGACTGCTATCAATAGAATAGAATTCATTCATCGGACCTCGTCATATTATATGCATTATCACAACGTATGTACAGTACGTATGTATGTATCTGCATGATACTTTCATTAAGGACACCCACCCATTCCGCTTTCACTGCCAATACTACCAAAAAAAATATCTCAACCTTTCCCGTATATACGACTGGCGTATATTATATATGTATACAACATGGCAGGCAGGCATCCTGGGTGCGTTCGTTCCTACCCCTCGCTCCTCCGCTCCGGTTCTGGCTCCGCTCCTCGAGTGATAATCCCCTTCTCTTGCCCCGCGTCTGAGATCGACAGACTGGATTCTCGCGCATTCCCCAGACGCAGCTGTTTGGAACAATTCTTCGCAGCCTTCCGGAGCTCCTTTTCCATCTCCTTGTGCGACTTTTCCACCGCTTTGCGCTGCTCCTTGGCCAGTTTCTGGATCGCTTTCGCCTTGGCGCGCTGCGCGTCCGCCCAGGCTTTGGCTGCGTCTCGTGGGTTTAATGATGGAGCTGAAGAAGAAGAAGGGGTGGTTGTTGCGCTGCGTGTCAGGCCTGGAGATTCGGTATGAGAGTCCGGCACAACATAGACCTCCTTATCCGCATCAACAGAGTCAGTTCTTTGCGCTCTCACCTGCTGCTCCTGTCTGACCTGTCCCTCCTCGCGACCATGGCCCCGGCCGCATCGTCGTCTATCGCGTCTCTCTCGACACTGCTCTCGGTGCTCCTCCCGCGCGCGACGTTCTACCTTCTTGAACGTCTCTTTCAGTGCCTTTGTTTCCTCCTTCATCGCTCGCCTTTGCTGCTCCCGCTGACGCCCCTCTTCAGGTGATTCCCACCGTCCCCAGTTCCCCCGTTTCGCGCTGGACCCGCCACAGTGGGCGCGGAGACGAGCATCTCGACGAGACTGCTGCAACACGCGCAGGTGGCTGCGGAGCCCGACGGCAGCGGCGTGCAGCTCGCGGCCATGGTACGTGTCCAGCGACAAGAGCTGCGCGCGCACAGTCGCCAGATCAGCGGGATCCAAGTCCGACACCGAGGAGAGAGAGTCGATCGACGAGAGAGACTCGTCGGACGAGCTTGAAGAGATAGATGCGCGGCGGGGACGTTGTTCGGCAGCGACATGACTAGCATTACTGGCAGGGTTCTGAGCTGGCGGCCGTCCTGGCCGTCCGCGGCGACCGAGCCCGGAGGCCCAGTTGCTTATTCGATCTCCAACCTCCTCGATCTGTCGTCCACGCATCAAAGCGGCCTCCTCAATCTGTCGCCCACGCATCAAGGCCGCTTCCTCGATCTGTCGTGAGCGCATCAGGGCAGTCTGTTCGACCCATTTCCCGTACAGCAGCGCTTGTCCAGTGAGCCTCTCGGCGTACTTCTCGGCATACTTCTGAGCCCGAGCGCTGAATTGGGCCGCCCAGCCGATCGGTCCGGACTCCCAGGAGGAAGAGGTAGAATGTCGGTGGATGTGAGGGTCCTCAACAGGTGACGGAGGAACCGGCTCGTTGGAATATAAATCCCAGGGAGCAAACGGCCTGAACGGACGAGGAGGGGCTTCGGATTCGACAGGAATCAGGCCGTCATCGGCCTGAGGAGCAACGGGTTGGCGTGGTGGGGTGGCCGATGAAGACGACTGCTCGGTCTGGACTGGCATCGGAGCCTCCACAGACCGTGAACGGGTATGTTGTCTGTTGCGGTTTTGGGACGCCTGCGTCGCAACAGGGTAGCATTCAGGACACAGCGGCGATGGCGGGCCTGTTTCCAGATCCGCAACGTAGACCCAGGAGACCCAGGTCGCGCGAGGGCCGAAGAAGCCCTCGTTCCACTCGGTCAGCACGGCGGCAATCCGGACCTCGCGTTCCTCGTCCGTCTCCTGCGGACGGTCCTTGCGATCGCGCTCGATCTCCGCCCGCAGTCGATGCGGCAGACGGTTGGACGACGCAGCGGGAGCCAGATGCGGAGGGAACAGGAAATTCAGGAACGTGTCCCAGTCGTGCTGGGTGATTTCATCCGCTCGCGAGTTCCAGCAACGGGGTCGTCGGGGGAAGTCCTTCCCTTGGCTGCGCGCGTAGATGGTCATGTGGTGGACCAAGGTATCTCGCTCTAGAGGCGAGACCGGCGGTGGGGGCCGCTCTGCGAAATAGGCTGCTGCGGAGGCAAAGGGAACAGGTTCTGGGGGGAGAGTCTCTGTTTGTGGATTGTCTGTCGATGTCGACGCCGTGGCCGTAGCCGTAGCAGCAGGAGTAGCAGTCGTAGGAGTCGGAGTCGGCAACGGAGCATCCCCGCCGCGAAGACGAAGAGGAAGCTGGAGTTGCGGGTGCTGGGTGTCTGTCGGAATTTCATTCTCATTGCTGCCACTGTTGGCGACAGGTTGCGACTGCTGCAGTATTAATGGATCGATCTCGGAATATGGCGGGGGAGCATCGTCCTCATTGTGGTGATCCATGGTGAATATGTACTCGGTAAAAAACTAATAGATGCAGATAAATCGATAAGAAAAGAAGATCAAGAACAAGAACAATAATTCCCGTAGAGAAGATAGACAAATCCCTATTTTTTTTTTGACAGCTGCTGTTTGGTTTGTTGGTTTTTGCAGGTATTATTAATTACGTCTGTATGGTAGACGTCAGTCGAAGAAATATAACTAGATCCTGACACTGGATATAATGTCGTATATTGGAGTTGAGATTCATAGAATATTATTCCAGAAGGATTCCGTCGTCGTCGTCGACGAAACAATCAGCCCCATCTATTTAGGTAGATGTGGATGTGGGGGCAGTTTGACAGTTCGCCTGTGCAAGTAGTTAATCGCCATGCCTGGTAGTTAATGCCAAGTAGATAGGGAGGACATACATACACCACCAAGGCAGAGCCTCACTGCATGCTGTGCATCAGGCGAGTTTGTTTCTTCGTTGGAGCTGAAGTGGGTCGGGTTGCTGCGTTGTCCTTGATTGTGCAATCGATCGATAGATAGAGAGACTTTAAGGATACATGTACTGTATGTCCTTCAGCCGTAGTTAATTAACGATTAATGTCTGTACAGAGGAATAATCGTTTTTTTAAAAAAAATCAATCGATATAATATAAACCGTATGATAATTGTGATGTGGTATGTGAAAAAAAAAGGATGGACGAAAAAATGAGAGAAATGTTGCAGCCTAAGTCAGCCTGGGTAGTAGTGAGATGGAGAAGAATGGAGGCTTGGTCCAGCCTTAGCCTTGATTAATTTAGTTTAAGGCTTAGCTCGTCAGACGCGGGACTGATTAGCAATTACTGTACGGAGTAAGTGCAAATGGGGAAGATGGCTGTGGGATTTCATCCTGGCTTCGCCTCCAAGCCACCATTCCTTTCCTGCTAGGAGAGAGGCTTGTGTCTATGGCTGTAACTCAACCATGTGGCACTGGTCTTCCATAGCTAACACTGGGAATACAAGGACATACCTAGGCTCTATATTTACTGGCCACAGCTACCGCAAGTCAAATTATTATTGACTGGCATAATTAATTACTGTATGAACTATATAAATCTTGCAAGATCGTAGTAACAAGCCCAGACCCAAGTCGAATCCTCCAACTCCAATGCTTGCAATGTCCAGAAAAAAAAATCTTACAATGAACGTTAAAAAGCGTCTCTCCTGACAGATACTCATTCACAATCACCATGCATCTCCCCAGCCATCGTCGTCACCCTCATCTTTGGGCTTCGTGTCGATGGTCTTCGACACTGTAGGCTTCGCCGATTTCGCTGTCCCTGTCGTCGCGGTCCGTGAGACGCCCGCAGGTCGCGTGGGAACTTCCTTGGTCGATGCGGACTTGGTCAAGCCCTTGGGAAGGGGTTTCTTGGCTTTCGCTTTGGACTGTGCGGCCAGCCAGCCTGCAAAGTCAGGTTCACCACCATCGTCGTAGGGAACGGCCGAAGGAGCAGGAGTCCTCCCGGGACTGGGTGTTGCCTTCGGACTCGTCGTTGCATCAAAGAAGGCGTCTTCGTCTTTCTGTCCCGCCTGGTCCTCCTCGTCCATCGCCCCCCAGGCATCTGCCCCCCAAGAGTCGTCGTGGTCCTCTTCTGCATGATTGTCCTCCGTGGTTCCCCGAACTGGCTGTTCAGAAGTCGATCGTGCCAGAGGAGGGGCGGCAGCATGCAAACCACCTTTAGAATTCGGTTCTGGCGTGGATGGTTTGGCCGGCCGAGGCGCAGAAGCCGGCCGTGCTGGCTCAGTCACGGCTGGGGTGCTGCCGTTAGCGCTGGGTCCTATCTCGCCCTTGGCCGCTGTAAGCTTGTTCGTGAATGAAGAAATAGCCCATCCGGCCCACGACGTATCGTTCGATGTCCCTATGCGCGCGGCATTGTTGTTGTTGGAGGCGTCCGCAGCATTGGGTGGCGGCAGCGCAGTATCGGGCATGGTGCTGCCATACTTGCGAACGCGCTGAAGGTATAAATCAAGGGTCTTGTTTGCCTGGTCACGTACAAGCCTGTACATGGTCAGTAGAGCGAGTCGACAGACCATGGGATAGTGCACATACTTTTCCTTATCTAGGAGAGCCGGGCATATCGCGGGCATGATTTTGCTTGCGCAGTCTTCTTCGCTGAAGAATTCCATCGTTGCTGCGAAAGCAAGAAGAGCAGCATTTCGGGCGTGAACAAATGGATCCCGAATCGCGCGGGTAAAGGCAGCAATAAGCACTTTCGATCTCGACTGCAATTTCTATTAGCATCCTGAACCGGACACCTTGAAGTTCCCGACCTACGCTTTGCCCCAGGTTTTTGGCAATCTTGCCCAAGCAGATTGTTGTATTGGTACGGATGCCGGGCTGCTCGTCGTTTGCGGTTCGGGCCAAGTATCGCAGCAGTTCGCCGTTGATAGTCCTGTCGGACAGTTTGCCAATGACCGTCAAGACGGCCTTGACGGTCTGCTCCCGAACGACGGGGGCGGCATCGGTAAAACCGGACGTCTAGGAAGTCTCAGTATAGTTCAGAAGGGACTGACTTTTCCCAACTCACCATTTGCGGGAAAATCTTATCATTGACGAGTTTCTGAGGCAGGCGATCGATCATCAAGGGCAGATTGTCCAGCAAGCTGACCCGCAAAGCACGGTCCGGATTGGCAAACAAACGAACAATGACCGGTGTCAGTCTCGACGCATATTCGTCATCTGTGAGTTTGGTTCCAATCTTCAAAATGGCACCCAAGACCTTCGGTCCTCCACCTCCAAATTCTACAGATTTGAGCAGTTCTGGGAGCACCTTCAACTTGAAGAACTCTTCTGGAAAGTCATCCGAAAGGCTTTCCAATTCACTATACACCTCGTTAGCACGACACCAATTGTCTCAGCAGGACCTCTGACATACTTGATGAATTCCTCTCGTTCGGCATCGTTCTTCAGTCCCAGGCTCTCGATATCATCCGTCAACCGGATGAGTGGCGTCTCGAAAAAGCCGCCGATCTTCTTTCCCTGCTCCACAAAATTCGCCGGACTCAGCCGCAACTTGGGGTTGGCATTGCACAGCCGTCTGTAGCTCTGATGCATGCTTGGTGGTATATTTGTCGTCTTTCCCACCTGGTCTCCACCTGAGAAACTGCCGTTGAAGACTTCAAATATCAAAATTCCCAGACCGTAGGAGTCGACGGCCGTCAGAGGGTTGCGTTTGATCGTTTCCCACCCGCCTTTGCTGATCTCCGGAGGACTGTATCTAGCGGAGTCGGGTACTAAGCTGCCATATGTCTTTTTTAGCAGTCAGCCATCAGTGGCCCTTGAACGGATTGCCCAGAAGGATAACTCACGTATATGACTGCATCATCATCATTCATAGAACTGAGGATATCAAACCCTCCCAGCTTCCATTCCCCACTCTCACTAGTGAATATGGACGAGACTCGAACGGCGCCGTGCACGGAAGAGGCGTCTTCGTTGATGAACTTGAGCGTAGACTGCCATCCATCGATTAGATGCGAATATCGTGAACTCTACAAGCGGAGGCTCTACTCACTGCCACAGTACACAGACCCCATTTTGCCGTCTCCTCACTCAGACTCCTCCGCTTCACGGACCAGGACAAAGGCGCGACTCTCTCCGTTACGATGTAGATGTGCGAATCTGTCTATGACTCGATTAATCACCAGCCGACTCTACAAGCTTGCCAACCCGTGTGCAGCTGCCTACCTCAATCGTATCCAACACTTTCAGCACTCCGGGATGTCTCAGGGTTCGGAACTTGCGCATCGCATTCTTGGCCAGCGGGAGACGAGACTTGTTTGCGGCGACATCGAAAGTAAAAACACTGCAGTTGGAGCCATCGTCCTGTGATTCACGGCCGTCAGTATACATCGTAACGCTAAAGCGCGTGAACTGGTCAGGGACTTGGGTTGGCTCACTCGTTTCGTGGCATTATGGAGTGCCCACAGAGAATCGCCGATATCAACACGGTCGCCAAGCGAGTAGGGAAGCGAACTCCCTTTCGAAATGGCCGAGGCGACAGCAGATTTCAGAAAATCCATAACGAGATCCGGGCGCTGCTATTGCTCGGAATTGTGTCGTTGGGGGGGTCCTCGCCGCCACGGTGTCTGCAATAGCAACGTGGCTACCAGACTTTCTTCTCCTGTTCGAAAAAAGGGACCAACATGCAATTTCGTACACCGCTGAGACGAGACTTAACGACCCCGAAACCTGCGTGGCCGTTCTCAAACTCAGCTTTGGCCCCTATCGCGTAGATCGAATTAATTATGTCCGCCGCAGTTGACCCCGAGGGGTCGCAGAGGTGCCTGAGGCAGCACAAATTATTTACTCCGGACAGCTAGCAGGCACGCGGCGATCCCCTCTTTCCCAAAACAGTTTAGGCTAATCCGGTGGCTTCATTTGACAGCACGAGCTCAGCTTCTTTCGATTTCCTTCACAGGACCTTCATCTCTCATGTCCAGAGATCTTGAATGAGAATCTGACTATCTTCCTTACTTATGAAACAGCTCAAATGATCTGTACCTCTTTCACGCCCCTGATCCGACTAACGTGCCCATTTAATGATTTCAGAGCTAGGAAGCACGTGTTCAAGAGCTAACAACATTGATATCTAGCTGCTTGTTGATGGTAAGTGCCCCTCCACATTTTTTGATCTATTCAAATCATTCCACATTCATCAAGCCTTGATCCCCTTCCCTTGAACGTCTCTCCAATGATGTGAAATGGTAAAAGGTCAGACCGCGCAAGGCTCCCCCGAAGGTGCTATGCAGTGTCGCGACTTCAGGACGAAACCCAAAGAAGGAAGAGGGGGAAAAAAAAGAAAAAGCATCTCCAGGGAATGGTTGGAATTGAGGGCTGAGGACATAACTGTCCTGATTGACGTCCATGAGATGGTTTATTTCTCTGCCGTCTTTGTTGTTGCTTTCTCTTCGCCACCACGACGACGGAGCGTCTGTTGGGACGTGGAATCCCACCAACATGTTCATTCAAGAAGGAATGAAGGAAGGAAGGAAGGAATGGGAAAATGAAAACAGCCCTCTGCTCTTTCCATTTTTTTTTGGTATCGTTTTCTCCTTCTCCTCTCCTGTCTCTTTTAATATCTCCTCTTCTACGTACGGAGGCAGGCACTTGATTTAAAAGGCGAAACGTGGGGGCCTGTGTCGAAAAGACCCACGATACGGAGCCTTGGAGTCAATGTGTACATCAAGAACACCGGGGGAAAGAAAATCCCGCCGCAAACTGGGGTTCCTTAGTCCGCTTCGCCTCCATGAGGACAACTTCAGGAACTAATGGCTACGGCGGACATGGTTCGATCAGAGGGCTCATGAGAGAACTGCCTAGAGGAGATGAGAAAAAAAAAAGGCTAGGCTTAAAAAAAGGAAGGAAGACGAGAGAGAGAGAAGTTGACGACGACCAAAAAAAAAAGGAAGAGCAGAGGTGTCCTTTCCTTTCCCTCCTTCTTTTCTATCCATCCTCTCTTGACATGAACATTGTCAAGGCGCGGAATCCCACGAGGAAGCACAAAAAGACACAAAAACGGAAATAAATAAATCATTTTCATGGGATGACTTGTCAGACAGTTGAAGAGGCCCTCATTTCCCTTCACGCCATTTTCCTGGTCGATGTTTCTTTCTTCTTTCCTTACATTCTCTCCTTCTTTGGGCGATGTCTTTCCGCTGACATTGCAAGTACCGCGGGTTTTCTTTCGGTCTTTTCACCTTCCGGGGCCTAGGATGATGACCGAAACTGAAAAGACCTGAGGAGAGAATCCTTTTACCTTTTCGCCTTTTGTCTTGATCAAGTTAAGGGTTACGCATATGAATTGATCTCGAGAGGAGAGGAGAATGACAGGCTGACTTGGTTAGTAGTAGGACTAAATCGCTTGCTGGATGGAACACTGGGGGTTCTCTTTTTCTTTTATACAATATCCGGACGGAATGTCGTTAATGAAAAAAATCCTTTCCCATGGAGATTACAGTATAGTTGATCCTATCATTACGTAGTGATATTCGTAGAATACTAAATCGCTGTTGTATCATCCAAGTCGAGCAATTGGACTACTCGGATCAAAAAGACCACTAATTGCACGTTTTTCAGTTTGCAAATGGTTTAGCAAATGCCATTGCCTACTAGCTAGCACCAGCGTAATCTGCATAGACTACACGATGCCCACTTGGTACTCTGTCCTATTTGACAAGAGACCCACGACTTGCCAAGGCATGGCCCCCCGCCCACAATAGCACATTCGGCCCTTTCGATCTCTCTCTGCCACCATTCCTGCATGACAATCGGCATTTGGATGATTTTTGACCGACCGATGTCATGGAGTACAATTATCGCCGCCCACCCAGTCTCGCCCTACAGGAAGCCCATTTCTAATCGGGACAACTAACCGCCACCACACTAGCCTCCAATTTGAACCTATGTCAAATAAATACTGGTCTCCATATTGAAGGTGTGCGCGTCTCGTCAGACTGTCCGGAAAGAGTCCTGAGCCAGCTTGAGAGCGTCATGGCGCAGAAGAGATACCATGCCGCAATGGCACAGCACTTGCTCGTTGAACGTGTATTGTTCCAAGAGTAGCACCATTGGGACCCTTCACTAAGGTCCTCATACGTCCCCACTGAATCACACGATTCCGTTGCAAGCCTATGAAGACATCAGTATCACTACGGGGGCAGTCATTAATACGGCAGATACGTACCAGTATTCTAAGCGGACGGCTGCTCTTAAAAAGCTGATATCTTCGTAAATCAATGTGATCCAGGTATAGAACCGATGAGAGTGAAAATGTATCTTTTCTTGAGATTTGGAACCGAATGCCACGTGAAATGTACGATATGAGAATAGTGAGCACAGCGCTTGGACAGATCAAGGGCAGAGAGGGCTCATGGCGACCTGTTGTGAGGAATGGGGTGATATTGAAGCCCCCTTGACGGTATAATCTAAGCAAGGATGCTCATTTCGCCTCCTCAGTAGTTTCGGTAGGGTGAGGCGCAGAGGCGGGCGCGGGAGGAGGAGGCTGAGAAGGCATATGAGGAGGCATCTGAGGTACTTGACTATAACTGTTGCTCGGGCCGCGATGCTGATGAGGTGGATAATGCTGCACTTGGTGGGGACTAGACGAGAAGTGAGGTTGTTGTGGGTAGCTCGCCCGAACGGGTGGAACTAATATCATTGTCAGTCAACGAAGCTGCATGGCAAGTAGGGTGATTGAAGCTTACCGTGACCCGGCTGCTGCGGCGCATACATCGGCTGTCCAGGCTGTGCTGGACTCATGAACATAACAGGCTGTGGTGGTTGACCAGGCTGAGAACCTTGGTGCATCATCATCGGTGCGCCTCGACTGGGACTTGGATATCCGCTGTGCGGCTGAGGAGGTGGTGCAGCATGCTGGGGATAAGCATGCGCCGGACTGGGAGAGTACATCTGCATCTGAGGGTTGTAAGGAGCGGCCATTCCCTGCGGCACTCCCATGTATGGACCGCTGGAAGGCTGCTGGACCATCATCGGCGCGCCCATGCCATTCTGCGGACTGACAAACTGGGGGGCTCCAGGGTATTGGCGCATATGCGCCGGCTGCGGAGCTCCTTGATTAACGTAGAACTGCGGCACAGGCTGGCCAAAAGCGAGTTGGGCGTGCGGACCCATCGGGGATGGATAGGCCATTTGGCCGTGTTGTAGTCGTGGAGACGGGAAAACCTGTGATGTAGAGGCCGACATTTGCATGCGATGATGGTCATCAAAGTGTGACCCATGATGCTGCTGAGGATGAAGGTGGTGCGGTGCGTGAGGGGGTCCAGCCGTCGGCGGGACGCCCTGGTGGCCCTGTTGGATATGGTATGGGAGTTGGGGCTGATGAGGCAGATGGGGATTCGATGAAGCGCGGCCCTGCGGGGAGATCGACGGGATGACAACGGGAGCTTTGAACATGTCCGCATACGTCTTCTCTTCATTTCCAGGAGCGACGTCCCAGGTAGGAGGAGTCCTGTAAGGCGGGGGAATTCCGCCATTGAAAGTATAATCCTTGTCGGTCTGCTCCGCGCTCTCCTTCTTCATCCGTTTGATCGGGTTGAAGTGGTCCTGGATGGACGGCCGCTCAGAAGCAGGCAAAGGCTTCTTGCTGCCGAAAAACGCGGACGGACTGGTCGCGCGAGATACGGACCGGCCCCGGGAGCTCGATTGCGGGCTGATAGACGCACCGGGTGTGAAAGTGCTGGCGGCTGGATTCGGCTTGAATTCAGTGGCCCTCACGTTAAATTTCGTCGAGGGCGCTGACGTCGGTGGTTGCGTCTTATTAGGACTGCTGACACCGGACTGATCCGCAGAGGGACCAGATGGCGGCACCCGTGCGTCTTGGATGGGTAGAGGCGTCGGGACTGCACCGAGCGCACCTTTTTGCTGACGCAAATTATCAGCCAAGCGATGGCTGAGCATGCCCGGACCAGTTCGTCCTGGGTGCATGGTCTGATGCGGCATCCTGCCACCGGGACCAACATGGGGTCCCGAGGGATACCCTTGACGGCCACGGGAGAAGTTCTGGCGGTCCGAGGGTGCAGATGGAGGGGGTGCAGATGGAGGGGCAGGATTAGTGGGTGCAGGAGCACGTGTAGTAGTAGCAGGTTTCTGTTCAGATGACGTAGAAGAAGAAGAAGCAGCAGCAGCAGCAGCTTGCGCCGCCGCTTTGGCCGCGGCTTTTTCCTCGGCTTGCCTTTGGGCTCTCTCAATGATCTCTTCTTGCTTGCTGGGGTCCTTCGCTAGGATCGGGACGAGATCTCGTGGAACTGGGGTGGCAAGCTTGAAGTTCTTGGAGAACTTCATAAGCTCGTTAAGTTTAATGGTCCGGTCATAAGAGGCCTGGTTACGCCGGCGCTCCTGCATCTTCAATTTCTCACTATTGGCAAACTGCCGGAAGTGGTCCAGGACTTCTGTTTCCACATTCGAGGTAGCATTTTCAGCACGTTTTGGAGCGGTGGTGGGAGCAGTGGTGGTAGGAGCGGTGGTAGAAGTAGTGGTAGGAGCAGCGGTAGAGGCAGTGGTGGTAGCAGTGGTGGTAGCAGTGGTAGTGGCAGCGGTAGTAGCGGCGGTAGTAGCGGTCGTAGTAGCGGCCGCAGCAGCGGTTGTAGTAGCAGTGGGAGCAGTCTGTCCAGCGGCAGCATTCTGTTCGGTAACACCTGGTCGAGAGGTTGTCGACGGTTTCGCAGGTTGGGATTGCTTTTCTTGTTCAGAGACTTCCGTCTTTGACGCCGGCGGTTCCTGAGGTGCAGCCTCAGGTCGAGCAACCTGGGCAGATGGCTCGGCTGAAGACCGAGAAACTGCCGGTTGCTGCTGGCCAGCGGCCCGTCGAGCCGGCGGGGTATATTTATTGGGCTGCCCTGACTGAAGAGGAGGGAAACTGGTATCGTCACGACGGACGCCACTATACTTTTCTTCTTCATCACCCTCGATAGTGAGGCCACGCTCCTCCCTGACATGAGGATTGTCCGTCTCGCTGTTTTCGATCTCACGAGCGATGCGAGCGGCCTCGGCCTCCTTTTGTTTATATGATGGGTCGGAACGATTAATGCGCGTGGTGTATATGTTTTCATCGTAACTGGTGGTTGCACCGAAGAGTCGCTCGTTTGCTTCGAACTGATCCCAACCTTCAGCTCCCGAGCTGTCGAGGGTAACTTCGAGGCTGGGGTCGGTAGCACTGGGCTCCCAGCGCTGCAGGGTTCGTCCTCGGATGGCTAGGCCGCCGGAAATATCACTATCGGTTCGGAAGCCAGTGGAAGCACCTAGAGGAGGGTCAACTTGGGCAATCACTTGCAGCAGCTGCTCTAATCGTACACATACCATTCTGCGGCTTGGCAACGAGGTCTGCCGTGGAGACGTTGGCCACGGCGACGTCGGCAATCTCCTTGATATCAAAGGCCATGCTATGGTCCGGCGGAGATCCTAGGAAGGGGCTCGCGACGTCGCTCAATCCATTGGGACGGGTCTGCTCCGGCTGGGGCGAGACACGCTGGACCATCTTGAGGGTAATAGAGGAGTCATTGGGCTCAAAGGAAGAAGAGGAGAAGATCCCGTTGAACTTCTCTCCATTTTTGGTGGTAATCACTGCAGTAAGGCCCTGAAAGAGGTCAGCGGAGTCCAATTCAGCATGACCGGAGGAGATGGCGGCTTACGATGAAGCTTGTTAGCAGGAAAAGGAGACGGTCGTGGGCATGGTTATCAGCAGTACTCGATTCTTTGGGCGCCATCGGTTTAGGAGATGTAGTCGACTTCGAATGGGCGGCACCGCCGTTCTGCTGGGAGTAGGAAGTAGGTTTCTGCGTGATCGGGTTCGTACCCTGAGTCCACGCCTTCTGGGAATTGGAGCGTCTGCAAGTCAAGCGCAATCAGTCAGGACGTGTGACAGAGGCCAAGAGCAGCGTGAATTAAGAGTCTTCTCATTCACGATAAGGGACGATGGCAAGCTGTTGGGGATGGCACGTGCGGGATTGTCCGCGGAGGCCCAAGACGCAGGGGATCGGAAGGTCAGGCAGCATCAAGAAGGCATATTCCAACCGGTCTTGACCGGTCGAGTTGGACGAAGGCCAGGAAAGGCGAGGTGCAGTCGGGAGAACACTGGGCGAACAACGTACCTTTGTGCCCCATCGCCGGGGCTGCCAGACTGCCGTCGACCACCGTCGGGCCCCTTCAGACTCGCATTTGATCTCAAAGACGGCCGGGCGCCACCAGGGTTCTGTGTAGGTGTAGAGGAGTTGAGGGTGTTGCCAGAAGCACTGTTGGCAGCTGGCACCGAGTTGACCGTGGAAGCCATGGAGCTGCGGCGTCAAGACACGCTCCCAACGTGGACTTTTTTTCCACGTCGCAGAGCTGGAGGACGGGAAGAACACGAGGCCACGACACGCACACACACACACCGCCTGGACAACCGGTTGAGGGCTGCCTCAGCAGAAAAAGTCGCGAACAAGAAGAAGCCACGGAGCCTCAATGGAAATTGAAGGCAGGGCGGGCAGGGGGGAAGAAGGGAGGAGGCGGAGGGGGAAGGAAGGAGGGAGGAGAGCACGTCTGAAGAAAGACCGCGGATGGAGAGGGTTTGGATTTGGGGATCAGAGCAGAGGCGTTGGTTGTTTGGGCCAAGCAGAGCCACTGGAGCTGCTGGCAGCGATTAGCGTGAGACTGGCCCGGGTGGAGACGGGGGAGGCTGGGTCCGTCGGACGATGGGCCCAGCAGTATGATGTGCGATGAGATATCTGATCGATCACGATAGAAACCGCTTGCAAGACAGAGTAATACTCGCTGGCCGCTTGGTCAATGGCGGAGTTCTTGATCAGGACTCTCCTGCGCCGGATTCCCCAACGGGCCCCTCTGCCAGCGTCATGACTAAGAAGAGCATTACTAGTCCTGCTTCGACTGTAGTCTCTCGGTTACCGGCGAGCCGCACCATGGCCAGCGGGCCGCCGCTCTGCAACGGTTGGTAGGCCCTTCTAGGCGCCTATCCATCCTTCTGAGGCAGTGAATACAGCACCATGTCAGGCCGCAATTCCAATATCCCATTCAAGGCAAATTCTCAGGTCACTTATGGTGGGATTGATTTGATCATCTCTAGACTTGGATCTATCCAGTATTGCCCTAGTGCTTCTTGCATTCCATCACTCTTGCTGCAAATGGCGCCAAGCAGGGATTCCCGTGACACATCATTGGCGCTGTGATTGAAGTTAACTACTCTGAATTTCACTGCATTACTGCATTAGTGAAGCAGAAAAATTACAAATTACCAGATGAGAAAGCCAGAAACATTCGAAGGTGTCGATAGATAAAGATACGATAGGGATATGAGATAAGTATGATGCGGATGTGCAGTTGGATCTGTGACAGCACCTTGTACCTCGTCTGGATAAAGAAGGAGCGGAATGCAAGAGACCACGTGTCTTGTTCAGTCTTCCGTCTCTGGAATGGCCTGATTCTGTGTCACGAGGAGCATCTGGGAATAGTTCTGCCTGGAATGTGGGTTATTCCTTGTTGAGAGAAACCCCCAGACAATATTTGTGATAAAACCAGAGTTCTGGAGGTTGACAGCTATGTTGATACTTTTCGAGGATCGAAACAACTCAGCGATTTGACAATTCTCGATGGCATTTTAGGTAGGGCAGCTTTCTATTTGGACAAGAAAGAAGTCAGCCAGTCACCTACATGTCAGATTGCTTAATCTTATCCTATATACGGCAGAGTGAATTGACCTCAACTACGTCTGCATGCCAAACTGTCAATAATAGTGACTGTCGTTGATATCCTTGTCTCATATGGCATGGCAGGCGGTTAGCCCTGACTGGACCAGTGCCATATCTCTCACTTGAAGGAGACCATCAACAAGAGCTGTGGTCTGTGAGGATGTGAGCTTTCTTTTTATATGTCAGGAATCCAGGCTATAGAGAGACAGAGAGAGTAGTGCTATTAACGTGCAGTACATTACCTACAGGACCATGCCATCTCTTTCAATTTCAGTATAATTTCTTATTATAGTCAGCCAAATTGATTCCTTACAGCAACTGTTTATTTCTTCTTAATTCGAAGGATCTTCCTTGCTGGGATGTCAATGCTGATATTGACTGGTTTGAATTGGGAATTATAGTATACACGATTCATGGATCCCGATCTGTCGTTTTCCTAATACAGTTTAGATAGAGGAAAAGCACCAGATACCCAAAGTCAAACACCCATATTACTTTTGCCCAACAGGCCTAAATGCCAAGATTATGGCTTCTTTCCATCCTCTGGCCAAAAAACAAGTATAACTGAAAGGTGTCAGATGAGGAACTAGGAGAGAGCTTCGGACCGTTTTCACGAAGATCACGTCCTCCTCGGGAAGAGGTTCCGTTCCAATCTTGACCTTTTTGGTTGTTTTTCTCCAGATAGAAAGAAGATAAAGTCGAGTCTGAATCAGGTTCTCTTGGGAATGTTAAATTTTTTTTAAAAAAAAATCAATCTACGGATTTGCTGAGCTGCTCCCACAGAATATATTACTATACCCTGAATTGTAGAAATCGGCTCCTGCGTACATTTGCATCCAGTCATCAAATACAACTAAAATTATTTTTTTGTTGTGCCTCATTTCGATGAATGGTGTTCTCTCTCACAGTCAACCAAGCTCATCCTAAACGGCGACAGTCTCGACATTCTCAGCTGTGCCCTTCGACTCCTGCGGCTTGTTTTCTAGTTGCATCTCCTTAGCATGCGCTGTATGGGTCGCTGTGATATTCAAGTCTGTCTTTCGGTGGCCGTCCAAGATCTTCTTGCTGACCAAGTTCGCGTATATGGGGAACACCCACGCCAGAACGTAGAAAGACGTGGGTATGGCCATCGCTGTGTGGAAGTTGCCTGTTCTTGTAGCCACCGCTCCTGTCATCGGTGGAATAGCAGCTCCGCCAGAAATGGCAGCGACAAGCATGCTACCGCCACGCTTCGTATGGCGGCCCAGACCTCGGAGGGCGAGAGTGAAGATGGTCGCAAAGCAAGCCTTTTTGGAAAGGACAATCGTCAGCAACCGGATTAAGGCCGAATCGGGCACAGATCAGGTAAAAACTTACGCTCTCGAAGCACAACACCAAGATCAACATCGCCACACTTGTGGCACCACGAGTTAAGACCGCACAGAGACCGAACACAAAGCAGAGCCCGAGATATATAGCCAAGATGTAGCGCGGTTTAAAAGCTTGCTTGGTCATCAGCCCGCTGGCTACGAAACGATTGAAAGCGTATAGGCCCTGGCCGACAGCCAGCAGATTTGCTGAAACAACAAAGTTAGCGTTCAAGATCTCAGAAAAGCGGGCATTATGAGCTTACAGGATGTGGAGGCGCTGTAACCTGCCTCCTCGCAGAAGTTGATAAAGTAGTTTGCAACAGCGACTTGCGCGCCAACATAGCAGAACTGGCTCCAAACCCCAAGGAAGAGATTGTACTGCTTCCGGAAGGGACCGACATCTTCGTCAGAAATATCTTGTGCCTGCAAGTGCATGTCGGCATCGGTGACCTCGGGCATCGGGGCGATGTAAAAAAGAACAATCAGGAGGGCAACAAAGCAGGCCACGCCGAGGTAGACCCATTGGACATTCTTAAGCCCTTGCTGCGTGTCAATGGTTTTGGCGAAGAAGACTCGAGATGCCAGTAGAGGCGCCACAAAAGATCCCACTCCCTGGACTCCCTGGGCGAGATTCAGACGGATCTCAGAGTATCGCGGAGGACCGCAGATGGAGAGGAAGTTGTCTGCGCCCGTTTCCAGAGTCGAAAGACCGGCTCCGACCACAAACATGCTGCCGCAGAAGCCTCCAAATGAAGCCTTAACTCCGCTAGGCCAGAACAGGAGACAGCCGACCGTAAGAACCGCAAGCCTATGATGATTCAAATTAGCAGAAAGTCGAGGGATGTCTGGTCTGGATTGAGCAGCATACCCAGTCATGAAAGTGACTCTGAAGCCAAAGCGTCGCAGAATCCATCCTGAGATTGTCAGAGGGCAGAGGAAATACGCGCCAAAATACGCCGCCGAGAGACCAGAGGCCTCGCTAGCGGTGATGTTGAGATCGGCCTGAAAGTGCGAGTTGAGAACATCAAGAAGGCCATAAGCGAATCCCCAAAGGAAGAACAGAATGGTGACTATCTCAGAACTGTCAGTGCTGGCAAAGACGATTGATCATCACAGTGGAACGCACCGAGGAAACAGGGGAATAGGGATTGCTTGAGCGTAAGGCCAGCACCCACGGTGATCGCCTTGTCGTCTACGACAATGTTGCGCTTCCACATGGTGGATAATTAGACTGGGGATTTCGGCACCGACTGCAGAAAGACAACAATAATGGGAGAGCGTCCCCGTCGAACACCCCGGGGAAGCGTCCCCATTAATACATACCCAATTCGACTCCATGCTTCAGCCAGTCTGGCTACCATCAGACAGGTCGTCGCTCGGGATAAAAGAGACCGAGACGCAAGAGCTTGAGTTGCATGTGGCGCCCGACCACCCAGCGGGTTTTAGCCTTTCTCGTTAGTTGAAGTCTTCCCATCATCCGACGGGACGAGTGCGGTGTAAGCCCTGAGTCAGACTGAGGCCGTAATTCCTCCAATGGGTTCTCAGCTTTTTGCAAGTGGTGCAACCCCTAGTAGTCCTAGTGGACTTTGGTATGGGTTAGTTATTAAGTCGGGTGGCCAGCGACCTAATAATTTCCGGGGGCCCATTCAACTCCCCGCTTCCCCACGTTCCCCGCGTTGTCCGCGTTTTTTAGCCACGAGCTTGCGTGTGATCACTGATGGCCATGTTTCCTTCCTGTTTGGTTGTCACGGGCCAGGATATTGCTGTTCTGCGTGGAGCCTGGAGCTCAACTCCTCGATGTCTGCTTCTTTAGTCAATTATAAATAGGATTGCGCATCTTCCATCGCTGTCTGCACTTGGCATAGCATTGCAGTAGCATCTGCCTCTGGTAGACGACTACTCGATCGCTCTTGATTGTTCCAGTTGAACAGCAGCTGGTACCTGGCAGAGGTTGTTGCAGTCAGAGCAATCAAGATATGGCAAAGAAAATGGTAAATAGAGGTAACTTGGCTTTGCTCATGTAGATGTTATTAAAGACAGTGGTAGCATCCCTCTTCCCTAATGGCAACACCGGAAACTATACTATGCAGCTCAATATGGACAGTTCAGTGTGTTCGGCGCTCATCAGTATCTACTCTAGAGCTCCCTCTACTGCTAAACGCTTAGAGCTTATGTTACGTATTCCTGGGGAGCACCTGAGTGACCAAGATGAGCAAGGAAATTTCTAAGAAGTAACTCTTCTGGAGAAAAGCAATTGCACCTTAACCACTTATTGCGTCCAATGTTATCCACCGCTATTATAAAGATAAAAAATTTCTATTTAGGTATGACCTATAGTCGCAAGATACTGCAAGGAAACTAAGAATATATATGGTGGAAGTACTTTGAGGCCAGTAGACTCATACTATGTCAGTGGACAGTATATACACTATTAGCCTAGGCAGCCTGTCAGATACAATAAACGCACCACTTAAGCCTCAGAAGTAAGTGTAATATTATTAGGGAAGACAGTGAATGCTAGCCAGTGAATTTGGATCAAGAATGCATATAGTGATTGGTTCGTAATTGACTGTCAAATCAAAAATATTCATAATTTTGAAAAAAATATATTATGTTAATCTCTCAGTCTTTCTTTATCTCAATGTATGTTGGAGCCTGACTTCAAGAGAAGATATCTTTGGAACGAAAATAATCAATAAAAAGCAATAATGGATGGCTGCGTATTCATCACAGGGCTGTAGAGGAGTATTCCGTACGTGAGGAGCTAGCCAATGCAAGGAGATAATATCGGACACGATAAGCCTTGATAGCGAGTCTCGAATCGGAAGACAATCCGTCACAGGTAGTAGGACACTGGCTTGACTGGAGCAGGATATCGTCGGAAAGAACATCACAACCCTCGTTACATTATTGCCGCAAAGTGCCTGTACTATGTACTGTACAATGGCAGAGCTAAATAGTGTTTTCTGCCAGGTCGTAATCCGATTAACTAGCATGAATTTATTAGTAAATTCTCAATGGCCGTAGAACAGCGGTGGAAGAACTCCAGAATATGCACCGTAATGGCCCTACCACCAGCACTCGCCCCTTGCAGCGAAAATTGCAACTGGAGCACCACTTTTTCACCGGATCGTCTGCCGTAGCAAACAAAGTTCGAGATCTTGAGGACGATCAGTGACAGAAAAGCGGTGGCTGGCATGATCTTGGCGCCGTGTTCTCAGCCAAGTCTAACGAACCCGTGACCCACACCTCCGCTCTCGCCAGGGGACGAACCTCATTGTGGTAGTTTCTAGCGTACTCACAGACCTGCCGAGGGTCGCCTTATTGTTATCGCCAGCCTTTTGTCTTTCTCTGTCTCTGTCTTTTGTTCTTCCCTCGCCAGTTCCTGGGAAAGTCGACGTCTTCTACACGTCGCTGCTGTCTCATGCAGTCCGCATACTCCCATTCTCGCTCTGGGCAGCGCCCATCGGGCGGCGACTCGACTTCCTCAGCTGGGAGTGGCATTGGGGGAAGCATGTCCTCCCAAGCAGCCGGTCCTCGCAGTTCTTCAGGTTCTGCACGGTCCCAGTCATCGAGGGGCGGAGTGGTAAGTTCGCGGGCTTTGCGTGTCTGTCATTCTTTGATCAAGCGAGTCTCATTGACCTGTGTCCATCTAGCAGCCCGATAAGCAACTGTCCCAGATCGAAAAGAGCGTAACCCATCTCTTAGTCGCGACCAAACAACTCCTGGAGACCTTAACACAATGGTCCCGAGGGCAGGCTACGGAGAACGAGGTTTCGGATGTTTATGTGCGCCTGGGATACGAATTCAACCTGGCCTGTCGAGCGTTTGGGGCTATCGGAGTTGATACGGCGGACCTAGGACCTGTGCCCGATCTTCTTCGGACCATTCTCGAAGACACTCTCAGTCAAGATGCTTCGCCACAAAGCCTTGACAGATACCTGCCGCGGATTCGAGATATCATTATCAACTTGCTCCACGGCCTCAAAAAGAAACAGGCACGATTACGATCGCGACAGGTGCGGGAAGACAGCAAGCCTTTCCCGGCGAGGCAAGCGAGCGTTGGTAGTCCCGAAGCTGGTGTGCCACAGGCAGCGGAGGAATCAGTGCCTCAGTCTCCCCATAAACGGCCTTCATCATCACGTCGGTATGGAAGCAATGGTTCTCTCGAAAACCAGCCTGCAGCACCAAGAGATCGAGCGGGTGGCAGCTTTTCCGACCGGGAAGCCTCAAGGCGGGAAGCTCAGAGGGCCCTAACTACGCCCAATTCATCCTCGTCCATGTCGACACCAACGATGCAAAATCCCCCTGGCCAGTCGCCTTACTCGGAAAGCGAACCATCTTCCGGACGGGCTCCTACATCTTCTGGCTATCCTCAAGCCTACCCCACACCGCCTCCGCCGCCGCCGCCTCCAAAGCAAGATGATGCATTAGGTGCTTTGCAAAGAAGTGGTGAACTTGAGCGACGTGCCTCCCGCCGATTTTCAGCATATCAAATACAAAAGCACCTGGGTGGATCATCCAACGGGGTTCCCATGCTTCCATCCCAGAATTCTCCCATGCCGAATAGAGGTCGCGATGTGCGGGAATCTTTGAACGCAGTACGGCTTCGTGGCTCCTACATTCATACGAAACAGCGATCGACAACTCGGCAAGAGTCGTCCCCGAACAGGGCGGGTCAGGCCCCCGCCGCTCCGAGCATTGCAGAAGAGGGTGAGGATGGACGCTCTAACCCTCAAGATGCGCCTCCAGCAGAACGGTCGACCGAAGATAGCTATGGAGATTCGATCCCGAAGACTCCAGCAGACAAACTTCGTCCTGCGGCGGAATTGGATAGTCGCGATGTCCCTGTTGTTGGTGGCTCTTTACCTGACCTCCCTCGCCTACCCGAAGGAGGCTCTCTCGCCGAGGGTTTTGAGCCCAATAAAAGCTCAGGACCTGATGGGGCGGCCACTCCGGCAGCTCAGCGTGGTGGTTCCTCAGCCGCCGTGTCGACTCCTCCTCAATCTCAACAATTTATCCCTGACCAATCTCCCGCTCCCGGGAAGGAACTTACTTTGTTCTTACAATACAAGAGCAAGATCAAGAAATACGTTATTCCCGAAGGGTCCACTGGTTTGACACTTGGAAGACTCCAACTGGCTTTCATTGAAAAGTTTGCATGGAATATCCATCAGAACGGTGTTGACTTGCCAGAAATTTATATCCAAGACCCTATATCTGGAATTCGACACGAGCTTGAGGATCTCAATGACGTCAAGGACCGTTCAGTTCTCGTGCTGAATGTTGAGGCCCTCGATGAGGTTAAACGGCATATTGATGATGGATTGGGCGGTATCCGCCGCCTAATTGAAGGCGTGAAAAGCGCTCTTGACGAGCAAGAAAACGTTATGCAACGGGTTGCTGAACGTCAATTGGAAGCAGCAAAAGAAATGGCCCGCCTCGCAGCAGCTCCTCCAACGTCGATCTCTGGAGGACCCTCAAAGGGCGGCAGACCGAAAGGATCAATTTCAGGCAGCGACAGTCAACTGGCCGAGGTACAGAGCCTTCGACGTGACCTCGCTGTTTTGCGTCAAACGTACTCCAACTTTACCTCAGATATTGCGGCGTCGATGAACAACATTCGGGCCAAGGCAAGCAGCGTCAAGGCTGCAGCAGAGAATGTAGCCACACCGTCCTACGAAGGGGATGCTGGACGTGCCCGTATCAATGCTGGAAAGAAAGAACTCGCCGATGAATCCGAGAGACTGGTTGGGCGTGTGGATGACCTCCAAGACTTGGTCGAGGACCTTCGCAAGGATGTGGTTAGTCGCGGTGTTCGTCCTCTTCCTCGACAACTCGAAGCTGTAAGCAAAGATATCAGCGAGGTGACCAAAGAGGTCAAGAAGATGCAGGAGTTCTTGAAGCGCGAGAAACCTATCTGGACCAAGATTTGGGAGAAAGAGCTGCAACTTGTCTGTGAAGAACGGGACCAGCTCACGATGCAGGAAGATCTGGCCGCAGATCTGGAGGATGATTTGGAGAAAGCCGCCCAAACATTTGCTCTCGTCGAGCAGGCGACGCGTCAGCAGATGGAAAATGGTAATGGAAGCATGCTTCGCAGCACTTCCCGCAATCTTGCTTTTGACCAAGGTGTGGATCCTATGAAAGCAAAGGATAATGTTCTCGGCGAGGTTCGTGCCCTCCAACCCAATCACGAATCTCGGCTGGAGGCCATCGAGAGAGCGGAGAAGGCCCGACAGAGAGAGCTCGAGAGCCGGCGAATGGATCTGTTCCAGCAAGAGTTGGGCCAGTTCGTGCAAGAAGGGAAGCTGAAGAAGAGTGGAGGTGTGGAGGAGGCCGAGAGATTGCGTCGAGCCAAAGATGAGCGCATCCGAAAAGAGGTCTGGGAAAGGCAGCAGGCCCGAGCGGCGGAATTGGAACAGATGGAGAAGGAGGGCTCAGAGTCCGCGCAGCCTGAACAGTCGACGGACGAGACTCAGCGCGAATCTGCAGAAGCTGAGAAAACATCGGAGACTGCAGGCGCGGAACCGGCGCAAGAAGAATCAGCTGAAAAGCCCGCAGCTGAAGAAGCTGGTGAACACAACAAGGAAGAGCCTGCAAAGGAAGAAAGTGCGGCAGATCCTCCTGGTATGTAGTTCCATCTACTACTACATGGCAGTACCATATGTGGGCCTGACAGGTACTGCAATCAGCGTCCCCGAGCAAGCGGAAGTCATGGCTGCCGTCCATCTTCTCCAGCTAGAGGTCTGAAAGCCTTTCTTCAGGCGTCTTTTTGCTGTGTGCGCCATTTACTATTTCTCTCTACTCCCCCATTGTACTTTTCTGGATTGATGTCGCTGTTTCATTCTTTCCCCTTCCGTCTTCCCGTCATTGTGCCCTTTACTTTGATGACAGTCCCCTTCAACTCCTGTATGCCCTGTATATCTTGCCCACTTCATGATGATATTTCATTCCGTGCACTTCCTTTGGTCTTGAAATGCCCCTATTTCATCTACCCCATCTAGGTATAGCATGCTTCTTGGGCGAATGGCCTCACATTGTTTCTGAATCTGCCATGTCATTTTTGCTCTTTGAGGTCCCCATGATTCTTATGATATGTTGAGGATACCCCCGCCCGTGTGTGTGTGTTGTTTTGTAGCAAGAATCAGTCTCATTCAAGGCCTACCGGTTTACAGGTTATGATCACTTTATGTATGCCCAGATTGGATATGATTCATGGAGACAAGCCCCTTGGTAGATTGTGTTCTCTTCCTAGATTAATCGCATTCATCGCTGATCTATCTTCCATCAAAGAGTCTTAGAGTATTGCTAAATTGGTAGAAGCTGGCCATATCATCAAAACAAGAGAAATTAGTGTTAATCGCAGCTGTTGCATTTAGTATTAGATACCAGGCTACCTAGGTAGGTACAGTACCACGAGGAACTTCTCGTCCGGTTTAGCACGTCAGGTTAGGTGTCAAGTACCTAGGTGGCGCCTGTTACCTAGGTAGAATATAATAAACTGTCCAGCTCTTCCCCCTTTAATATTCTCTAGCCAATTAATTGATACCTATAGGCTAAAGCCCCGCCTTTATCGGTGTTTCCCCTTGCCCTTCTTCTTATCCTTAGGGGCGAAAGACTTCTTCTGCAAACCGTCCCATTTCCTGTCTCCCAGTTTCAAACTAGCTGTGTTAAGCAAGTCAAGAAAACATTCATCCTTCGATAATCGTTTCGGATCAATGCCCAACGCCTTTTCCAGGACCGGCGCAATATCGTGTGCCGCGCAGACACGAAAGTCGCCGCTGCTAACGCGTTTCTTCATGCGTCGATTTAGCCGCTCTTCGAGGGTCTCTTCGATAAGACGAGAGAGCGTCTTGTTTTCGTCTATGGCGGTATTCTTTATTGCCTCCGCCTCTTCGGGCTCGAAATAAGGTAATCCGATATAAGACGGGTCGGATACTTGTTCCAGCCGCGCTTCCGAATCAGCCCGTTCGGAGTAGTGCCGGAGATCGAAGAATACGTGGATCTTGTACCAAAGCGTGGGGGAAATCGTTGAGTTTTGTAAATCTGAGAGAGAGATTGTCTTTTCGGCGTTTGTTGAGTGAGGTTCAGTTGTCTCAGCTGCTTCTTCTGCTGCAACATGTGTGTTGCTTGTCGAAGCCATGTCAAGTATTATTTGGGGAGTGAAAAGTACGGTAATAAACGGTGCCGGTGCCTCTCAGAAACTTGTGAGCGTGCATCTATGCAAAGAGCTAGGCTATGGTGATATGGCTGCTGCAGGATAGTTGAGTTCTCTGAGAGAGTGATGGATAATCAGAGAAAGGCTGTCTGAAAGCGAATCATCAAAGGCGATGCTTTCTTACAGTCCAAGTTAGTACAAGCTACTGCACTCTGTAGCCTAAGTTTCGTAGTCCTGTGGGTCCAGCTGAGCTGCCAGGTGGGACCGCGAGGCGGTGAGAGCTATACACCGGCAGAACGACGCAAGCAATTCATGTCATTGTCCCAGCCTCTCTGAATTCTGCCCGCTAAGGTATATTTGTCGTCCGATTCTTTTCTTTTGTTCGGGGTATATATTATTTCTGTAGTCTACTGTAGCTCGTGTTTTTTCCTGTGCAAATGAAAATATCCTTTCTCAATACTTGAATTCAGTCGCATCTTTCCTATCCGAGAGCTTGAACTGACTCCCGACTGCGTTTGAAAACATATATCGAGTATCTGTCTGTTCAGTTATGCTACTCTGAGTATTTTTGTGGGGACTTCGACTTGTCAAGGGACTGTATGTACTTTTCTCCATTCTATCGCGTCTGGTGATTTCATCCTAACGAAGCTAATGCGTGCAGGAAAGGCGGATGAAATGCAGCTGAGGAATCTACGGCCTTTCTTTCTCCTGTTCCTATCTGCGATAGCCTCCTTCGGCGCAAAAGCCGTCGATGATGGTCTCACAACACGAGAGAGCGGCGGTCCCAGCGGGCCGTTACCTGATTTCGACAAGATTGAAAGACAGAACGCCGTCATCGAGCAAAAACTGGCCCAGCAGAAAATCAATGGTGTGCGGAAGATGAGTGACGATGAAGGAGAGAAGTTCTTTCTCGATTACTGGATCTTTGATGACGATCTGGAGGGATACAATCTGGGGAACGTTAGCGTAGCCCCAAGAGGAGCTTTGGATGACACGCAATCGTCCGATGTCTGGTCGAATGCGTCCAGTCTCACGCAATTTCGGCCTGCTTTTCTCTTGCATACAGACGAGCAAGCGGAGTTGTTCCATCTGGCAGAGCGTTATTCCGGCCCTGCCAGAAGGGCTTTGTCAATGCTGATGAAGCGGGATTTCAAGTGTCCCACCGGCACGTTCAGCTGCACTTCGATCAATAGGCCGGACAGCTGCTGTAGCAACGGCGATACCTGTCAGCTGATACAGGACACGGGTCTTGGAAGTGTTGGCTGTTGCCCACAAGGCGAGACGTGCTCAGGAGGCGTCAGCTCCTGCGGTTCGGGATATACCGGCTGTCCTAGCAGCCTGGGAGGTGGATGCTGTATCCCAGGGTACGAATGTGTCAGTGGAGGATGTAAGGATCCATCATTGTCCTAGTCGTTTTGATGGGATTGTCTCAGCTGACATGATTCTCTACAGGCGCTTTTGTGTCGACCTACACAGTGACTGAATATTCTACAACTCGTGTAGTGTCCTCAACAGTGACAACTCCAGCATTGACGTCCATGTCCACGTCGACAACTGCTTCAACTAGCACAAGCATAACGAGTTCTACCCAAGGCTCTACGTCACACGGTCTTACACCTCCCGTACGGCCAACGACTGAATCTCAAACCACCATTACTTCTACCGGCGGTGCCTCGGTCTGCCCTACGGGCTTCTACGCCTGCTCTGCGGTGTACCACGGCGGCTGCTGCCGTACCGGCCGCGACTGCGACACAACGTCCTGCCCCGCAATGTTGTCTACTACCGTAATCAATTCGGACGGCGTCACGGTCGTTGCGCCTGTTCCTACTGCTCCTCCTGCCACAGAAGGCTCCTGCGCAAGCGGCTGGTACAGCTGTGCCGCTTCTGTCGGTGGCGGATGCTGCCCAAGCGGATTTGTGTGCGGATCAAGCTGTACAGCCACGGCAGCCACAGCTGCAACGGTGGCCAAAGTCCAACCTACTGGACCAGGTAGACGGAACAGGATGGACTTGTATTGCCTGGGAGCTTGTGTGCTAGGAGCGCTGTGCTTTTTGCTGTGAAACGCCTCTTTTCATGAACGTTTCTGCGGCTGCATTGCGTCTGTATATATTTTGGCGTCTTCCTTTTTGCCCTCATTCCCTTTCCATTTGCATGGTATGGCGCGTTACGAGAACATTGACTGATGACTTCTCATGAGATAAGAGACATGGGTGCATATAACGGTCTGGAAGAATTTTCAGCGAATGAATGAGATTTCTATATTTGTATACAAATATAACGTTATCTGCGTGCCTTTCCAATCCTAGGTCACGACATTCCCCGTGGGGCTGTCGACGAGCAGTCGTGGGGCTAATTAACAACGAGGGAGCTGCTCTGACTGCATTCGCCGCTTTTAGCCGGCGGTCAGTCACCGCTCTCCGAGATTGGTTAAACAGCTCCGACTCGGGCTCGCTCCGCGCTGCTCTCCGCACGCTCGATCAGTCATCATCCGTTCCCATCTCCAACTGCCCTGCCTGCTACTCCGGAAACTCCCCTCTCGCATCCTCCTCCCCGTTTCTCTCCCCTCTCCTTCTCCTCATACGCGTGCTCCTTCTCCAACCCGGGACCCGACACCCTTTCTTATTTCTCTTGTCGTTTGTCTGGTTCTCTTCCCTTTCGTTTACATCCCTAACCCCAGGTACCTACCTACCCGCGTGCGCTTTTTGCCGGAACCTGTCGCCGATAACCGGATACGTAACTCCGCACGGTGCGCACCACCCACCATGTCGTCCTCCAAGGATAAGAAGCCTCTGCCCTTCATTTACCAATTCACCGCCGGCGCGGTAGCCGGTGTTTCTGAAGTAAGTGTCAATTCATATCCCTTAGCTTTTCTTGCGGGAGTATATCGTTCGCTGACTAGCTTTTGCCAGATTCTTGTGATGTACTTCTCTCTCTCCTACTCCCTAGTTTCCTTCCCCCCTTGATGCGGGGGTTCTGTTTCCTTGCCAATGGTCCAGATAATTAATACATTGTGTGATCAGGTACCCATTGGATGTCGTCAAGACGCGAGTGTACGTTGTCCAGGCCATTCCGTCACAAAGTAAAGTTCTTTTTCGCTAACACGGGCTGGTGGATTACAGCCAGTTGCAAAAGGGTGCTGGTGTCGGTGAGGAGGCGTACAAGGGCATGTTTGACTGCTTCAGCAAGATCATCAGGCATGAAGGGTATGTTTGTTGTTGTCTGGATCAATTCTCCCTCCAGGTTGTGTTATTGTATTATGCTCATGACGGACGGATCTTAGCGTCTCCCGTCTCTACCGCGGTATCACCGCCCCTATCCTGATGGAGGCTCCCAAGCGTGCCACCAAGTTCGCCGCCAACGACAGCTGGGGTGCGTTCTACCGTAAGCTTTTTGGTGTTCAGAAACAGACCCAGTCGCTGGCCGTCCTGACTGGTGCCACCGCCGGTGCGACTGAAGCCTTTGTGGTTGTCCCCTTTGAGCTGGTCAAGATCCGTCTGCAGGACAAGGCCTCGGCGGGCAAGTACAAGGGAATGCTGGATGTCGTTGGCAAGATCATCAAGGAAGAGGGCCCTCTGGCGCTGTACAACGGCCTCGAGTCCACCCTGTGGCGTCACATCCTCTGGAACGGCGGCTACTTTGGATGCATTTTCCAGGTGCGCGCGCTGCTGCCCAAGGCGGAGGAGGGGAACCGGTCGCAGCAGATCCGCAATGACCTGATCGCCGGTACGATCGGCGGCACGGCCGGCACGATCCTCAACACGCCCATGGACGTGGTCAAGTCGCGTATCCAGAACAGCCCCAAGATCCCGGGCCAGGTGCCCAAGTACAACTGGGCCTGGCCATCCGTCGGCCTGGTGTTCAAGGAGGAAGGCTTCGGCGCGCTCTACAAGGGATTCATCCCCAAGGTTCTGCGGCTGGGTCCCGGAGGCGGTATCCTGTTGGTCGTCTTTACCGGTGTGATGGACTTTTTCCGAAAGATCCGTGGAGAGTAAACAAACAGCACAAAACAGAAAAAAAAGTTAGTGAACGTGCCTATGACCCGGGGAGAAAGAGCAATCAAACAATCAAGAAAGCAAGTTATCATGAGAGGGGGTCCAACAAGGAAGAAAGGAAGGGGGAGAGCGCGGACATAACATAACTCACGATCAATCCATCAATACCTGCGAATCGAATCGAATCGAACCGGAAAGGAAAAGAAAACCCCGAAGGAAGACAAAAAATTTTTTTTATAAAAGAAAAGATTAGAGAACACGATTGATCAATCTGGATGGTAGAGATGGAATGTACAGTTTCTTTTATTCCTTTTTTTTTGTATCGTTTTGGCTTGGCTTGGTTTTGTTTGGTTTACTCATCGTCTTCTTCTTCTTCTTCTCACCGTCTTACGAGAAATCTATCTATCTATCCATCTATCCATCTGTGTCGCGTACTACTACACTACATTACACTATGCTACACTATAAGTACTTTTGTTGTTGTTTGTTTTCTGGTCTGGTCTGGTCTTTGAGTGACTGTGACTTGGTTGCTTGATAGATAGATAGAACACAGGACTGCTACTACTGCTGCTGTCGCGGCCAGCGCCAACCCGGGAGAGAAAATCGCTGTACCAGCTGAACACCGTCTGGCACGTCGAGCAGCGCTGGATCGAGCCCGGTGGCATGAAAATGTCGAGGAAGAGGGCCACCATCTCATCTTCTTGACGGACCGTCACGACGGGAGGGATGGCCACTTTTCCCCCAGTGGTCGTCGTCAATGCCCATGCTGGACCTGAACCTGGACTTGAATTTTGTTGTTGTCCAATATTACCGCCAGATCGCAGTGGAAGACGGACGTAGACGCCCATGCCATAATAACCCTCACATGGCAGGGAAGAGAGCCGGCATTTTTGACAGTGGGGACGAGCTCGATCGCACTGGAAATTAGTTAACCCTAGTTAGGTGTGAAACGAAGAGAAAAGAGGGTTTTTTTTAATGATTGAATTACCTTGATCTTCCTTCGTCGACATGTCGCGCAGGATTTCGATTTCCATGCAACTCTCGCCATGGTGGAACAGTCAGGGAGATAGAAGATTAAAAAAGAGAGATAGACGATAGACGAAGATTGCCTTTTCTTTCTTTCCCCTGTTTTGCCCCCCTTTTTTGTAGTTTCCACTTCACCTGCTTATTGGAAGGCTATGAACCGTCTCCGAATTTCACTCTTTTCCTTTATGGCAGCTGTTAGTGATGGATTTTTTTAATCATACGGATAGGTGCATGTCCTATTACCTTGTCATGTTGGCAGTCGTACTGAAACTGACTGACATGGTTGTTGATGAGCTGTTATAATAGAATATTCCATTCAGTCTCGCAGCTGTCGGCAGCTTCCAAAAGACACGATGAAAAAAAAGAACTTCAATAAGAGCCTCACACTTAACGAGCCTCAGACTCATTGCAATGAATTAATTAATTAGTAAATTAGTATCCTGCGTGGTCAGCCTTCAGCTTGTCGGGCGCAGATGTCGCGGCACCTCCTGACAAGGGGTTCGGCTAATAAGCGCTGCCGATTGGAAGGGGGACGCATTTGTAGAGCGTTTGCTATCCCCATTTAGATAACATAATTCTGCTCCTCAGAATTGGGGATGGAATTTGATTGGATTAGACGAGAAATAGATGCATCCAACAACACGCCAACCTTCACCAGTCAGACCAGCTCATCAGCCAGGCCAGGCCAGAACTGTGCCAGAAATTCCACTCAGCCAAAAGGAGACCCCATACCATCTTCTATTTACCTGATTGATCCTTTTCTTCTGACAAATTTGCATTAGTCGCATACAAAAGAGCCATGCCATGTCAATTTTCGACTGCTGTCAGTTGAGTGGCCCCCCTCCTCCAGAGCAACGCAGCCGCAGGAAGCTGCGCAGCCGCAAACCCAATCATGATTCGGAATTGGACGTTGTAGCTCTGGGCAAAGACGCTCTGAATCGTCTTCTGCTGTTCGACGCCCAGAGTCCGGATAATGGCCGTGTTCTGGAGCAACGTCTGCAGCTGTTCCGGTGACAGGACATCGTGCAGACGGCTCTTCAACATCCCGTTCAGGACATTGGATGCAATTCCCAGGCCGATTGCTCCTCCCAGGAAGCGGAATTGAATGATAGCGCCCGTGGCCACGGCTGTAGAAATCAGTATATGCATGCATGTATAATCATGACCAATAGGGGAGGGGAGAAATGAGTGAATAATACAACGATGACACTCACCAAGGTCTTTGGGTTCGACAACGAATGGCGTCGCCAGCAGAAGGATGCCGAATGTCGTGCCCACGCCCGCCCCTGCAAGGATCTCATAGACGTATCCAGCAGCGGGGAAATAGTTATTATTTTTAGGAAGAGTCGACAACAGTGCCACACCGATGGTATGGAGGATGGAACCCAGTATGAGAAAATATATAAATGGGATCTGACCCTTCTTAGAAGCGATATTGGCCACCCCGACAGCGACTGCACTCATGCATGAGTATGCAAGTAGACGGACTCCCGCAGAAAGAGCTGAGGTCTCGGTGACAACTTGGAATCGCTGAGGTAGGGACACAACGACAACATTCGAAGGAAAGCCAACCAGAAATGTGGTTCTATCGAGGCAAAACGATTAGTCAATTGTCAGTCGATCTTGATGCGAATATCGTAGACCTACAAGAGCATCCCCATCCAGGGTCGATGGACCAGAAAGCGTGTCGGAAAGATCGGCGCCGGCCTTCGTTCTGCAGCGGTGATGAAGTGTTCCCACACAAGGAATGCAATCCAAGCGATGCCAGAAATCACAAGAAGTGCAATTGTCGCCCTGTCCGACCAGCGAAACCTAACGTTGACTTCATTAGGTACCGTTATGAGTGGAAGAGAGCTGGCAAGCAGTAGAACGGCCCCAACGAGGTCAATCTGCAGAAGATTCGTCCTGGATAATCGATGCTGCTGCTGCTGCTTTGTAGTATTTGAGCCGAAGCTGACAGGGAGTGCAATCATCAACAGAAATATCGCGACGCCACCGATGGGAAGACTAGATTGACATCAGTTAGCCCCCTTTTCAAGAGAAATATAGAAAACTAGAGCTGCGCGCGCACTTGATGTAGAACACCCATCGCCAATTCGAGTAGTCGTCCAGCGCACCTCCGAGCAATGGGCCGGTAGAAAACCCCAATGTAATGGACGAGGACACGAAGACGCCGTAAAGAGGAAGCTTGGATTTCGGCAGCATTTCGTAGAATATTAAGATCGATACCGAGTAGGCACCGGCAGCTCCAATTCCCTGGAAAGCACGACATATGATTCTGCTGGAACGTCAGCATGAGATTCTCAATGGATTGATTGACTGGGATCGAACGAACAACTGGCTCATTGATTGAGATACTCCGCATCCGAGGGAGAAGGCGATGAATATCGCCATTGTTGCAAGGACTGATGACTTTCGACCGATAATGTCACTCAGCTTGCTCCAGAGGACGATGAATCCTGTTCTATTTAGTTAAAACATACACTCCATTTTTTTTAGTGACAAGCAGCATACCGGTAGAAGTAATTAAATATCCTGTGACAACCCAACTCGTTCGATCGAAGCCATGCAAGTTGTTGGTGATAGTAACCAGAGAGGTGCTCACGATGGTTGTTTCGAGATTGACCAGGTATATACAGAACAGCAGACTGGAGCGTCAGTCAGCATAGGTAGGTCTCGTTATATCAAGGGAAGCACGACCTACCCAATTGTGGTGAGGTATAGCCTCCATCCCATCAGATAGGAATTATTCGTTTCCGAGAACACGTCTTCTCCCTTCTGATCTGGACTCTCTTCACGGGGTTTCTCTGCGAGGACCGTCTCGCGGTCCGTCATGAATGTAATGATGTTTTCAAGGCATGATATTCAGCTCATGCGAGAGATGCTAATCCAAGAAGGAGTTAATATAGGAAAGCCCTATGTAGGTCGAGAGGCACGGTGTCAGTTTTGAACAGGGAGGAGCTATCCGTCTGCCGGCGTCCTCTTTATAATAAGATTTTTTTGCTTCAGCTCAAACAAAAACACCATTAGTTTCCACACCGCATGGATCTGCTAGACGGTGGATCTCTCTGCTGAGGCTGAAAATGGCGCTGCTCAATCATGTCGGATTTTTCACCGACACTTGCAGGTGACAGGGACACATCATGACTCGTATATTTCGTGATATTGTTGAGACAAACCACGTTGAGGGAGCCGGCTGCCCTACCCATGGCCTCGGGCTTTGCAGCTCGCTGGTTGGATGGACGAGATGGTTGGGCTTGATAACCTTGCATAAAAGAACCATCAGACCTAAAGCGAGGACAGGAAAACCACTATTGAGAGTTTCCATTAACGACCTATGAGCTGTGATTTTGGTATTAGCCATTTCAACGACTGGGCGCTCGCAAAAAAAAAACGCAATGAACCTCAAGATCAACTAGTATGAGTACCAAAACTACAAAGATAACGAACATAAACTCCGTGCCTTTGCCAGGCTTCAAGAATGGCTTGTGAAATGAGGAGAAGCACGGAATAAATTGGAACATATCCCATTGCAAGGAGCAGGGGTATCCTTTTGACCGCACATTGGGAAATTGGACACATCATCAAACTCTCAGGGAGGAGTCGTTCCCATGTGATGTAGCCATAACAAAGAGCTCCAAGTTCTTGTGTCGCACGCTACTCGTAGTAGTCGAGTTGCATACTAGGTACGAGGACAAGAGATGGTATTAATTACGCCACAATATTGTTGAGATCAGAGTCCAATGCCGCAGAAGGCAACCGTCAAGGACCTTCCTAGGTAGGAAGGTAATACTGACAGGTCAGACCATCCCAGAAAGGGTAATCCACACTGGCCGCGACATACTCCGGCTGAGGTACTGTCAACCAGACAAAGAAAAACCTAGGTTACCTAGTGAACCCCTAGTGTGAATGATAGCTAGCCAGGTTGACAGGTACTTACCTAAAGCACATAATTATCTGAAGTGCATGATCTCTATGTTAGGGTGGCATATGATTCCAGTCTAGAATCGCCGATTGCAGATAGGATCAGAGATTCCTGATCAGGGACCGCACACAGGCTGGATAGATTGTGCATCATCATCATCATAAGAGTTAGATGGGTTGAAATCAAAACTTGTCAAGAGGCCACACATGTTGAATTGATGAATTGATTAGAAACAGGCTGTTGGCATGCTGCTCCACGATAAGTAAACTAAACTAAACTATTCCGTACCGGACAATAAATATGAGTATTAACAGGAAACCAAACCAAACCAAACCAAACTGGACGGGGGAGAATGCTGCTTGTCAATGGCAAAAAGGATC